AACATGGAGATCTGCCAACTTCTTCAATCCCAAATCCTCCACTTTGCTCCTAATTAGTAAGAGCTTTGCTGATTACAATACTCTATTCCTAAGGAAACTCTTGGGATAGAACAAAGTCGGGTCTTTCATTTTATGTATACAAAAGTTACACGGTATAATTCAGAGATTATGACGGATTAAGCGAGTCACAAAAACTCGAAGAACCCAAACCAGGCTAGAAATTTTAAAGATGGAACCATTTCTTTTGCGTTTTTTTTTTTTCCTGAACGAACATGCATTTTTAATTCTAATTGTAAGTGTTTCCACGTGTTAATTAATATTCCATATCAAAGTTTTAATGAACAAAGATTGCACAAATATTCCACAAATATGCCATGTATCAGTAAATATCCCATAATCATTCCCAGCATATGGGTAGCTTTTGAGTGAACTCTTGGAGCTTCACTTGCATTCATCTTTCTAGCTTCTATTACTCTCAAGTGAGTCCCTATTTTCTTCATCATTCTGAAATATATCGAAACCCTTGAATTGTACACGCCTCAACGATGAGGAGAATCCACCCATTTTCAACAATGTGATGAAGAATTTTTATAGTTTGCTATTCCCAGGGAATTCTACTTATCTGCCATTTTTGTTGATAATTTATCAGTTGTTAAACTAGATCAAGAGCATATCTCTTTGCTATTACTTTTGATCAATCATCAGAAGATGGAACTCTTAAAAATATGAGAAACCATGTGGATTGAAATTTATAGTTGTTCATCTTATTGAAAGGTCCAAAGAGAAGATTAAAGAAGTGGGATAAACTTCACGTTAGCTCTCTCTTGTATTAAAGATTTAATGATCCAAGGTTTGGACACACCATAATCAACTCCAATCTTTTCGGCAGATTCCCTCTACAGATGGTATTTTGTTTTAACTATTTGCAGCTGAAATTAGCAAACTGTTGCTGTCCCTGCACTACTGTAATAACCAGGATGTTGTGGGGGGGACGGTTAAGCATGACATGACCATATACAATGGCTTAAGAAAGATAAGATTTTATCTGTGCTCATGATCATTATTGCAGTATTCTCAAACGTGACATCCATATACAATGGCGCATACTCTTTGTTGACGGCTTGAGTGGGATTTAGTTGAATTAGTACATTGTTTGGATCACTATTGCTTTGCTTTTATTCTTTTACAGATTGTATTGAAATTTCAGGATAAGTTCATGCCAAATAAAGTTTTATATCATAGATATGAAAGTTGGTTTTGGCCCATTTACAATAGGAAAGAGTTGAAGATATATTTCATGAGAAGCTCGTTACTTCATTTCTCTGATTTCTTTCCACTAGTTAAATTGCATCGTTTGATGTTTCATCGAAGGAAGGCGACTACCAGCTTGAGCACGGTGAAGAGAGTTTGTTTGAGATGGCAAGTCTGGAAGGAGATATGGATGGTTTAACAGCATAGCAGCAGTCCACCTTTCACTAGGATTCCGTGCAAAACACTTCATCAAGAAATCTTTTCCTGCGCTTGACATGTTTTCTGGTATTTTTGGTGGATTCCTGGAATGAAAAAGCTTGATGGCCAGATCCGTTAGGTTCTCATATTCCCATGGTGGTTCTCCAGTAATCATCTGGAGAACAACGCACCCTAGTGACCATATATCTAATGAAGCACTGATTTTCGCATTCTCAACTGATTCTGGTGGCATGTTAACCGCTGTACCTGGAAAATTTACCTTCCCAGGTGGCCCATCTACTCTTTCTCCAGGTTGCCTAGCCAGGCCAAAATCAGCAATTTTTAGACCATTAATCAAACCGTTGAGATCAAAAGGAAAAACAAGGATGTTTTCTGGCTTGAGATCACAGTGAACATAGCCTCTCTCATGAATATTCCGAAGCCCTAGAACCAGCATCCTCGCATAGAACCTGGCATTACATTCCGGTATCTTGCCCCCATATCGTTTGGTTATTAAGTCGAAAAGATCTCCACGGGGAGCATATTCAAGAAACAAGTTGTAAACCACCTCCCCTTTTTCATCAATGCTCAATGCATCACCAAAGCATCGAACAATAAATGGACAGCCACCAAGTCGTCGAAGGATTCGTTGTTCCTTCTGGAGTGAAAGGGACTCCTGGTAAAGACAAGATTTTGCGGCAAAAATTGGATCAAGATCAGGTTTGATTGGTTTCACCAAGTGAACAACCCCAAAGGAACCCTCGCCCAGAGTCTTGACATTGATCCACTCCAGGGTTGAACCACCCCTTGTTAGTCCTTTCACTACTGCATAATCCATGGTTGTTGATGAAAACCAACCCAAGGAAAGAAGGAATTTAACAAGCAGTTTTCTGTAAACCTGAAGCTATTTTCTTCTGGATATATATACGTTTTGGAAGGAGCTGGTCTGAGTCGGTTTTCACTTTCCTAATTTTCTTTGGTTTAGGTAATTAACATCCGAGTTGGCAGCTGATGATTGGTAAAAGAAACTTTTAAATTATATTCAAAATAAATTCAAATAAATCATTAACTTAAAAAAAATAAAAACTTATTTAACTCAAAAATAAAAATATATATATAAATTTTCGTAAATAATTCCATTTTTAGGAAATAGCAGCTGCCCCCACAGGGAGGAGGCCCTTCAGACACCGAAAGCTTCGGTGTCTCCGCCTCCCTTGGCTCTCTCCCTACCCTTTTTCTTTATATATATAATTCTCGTTCCTCTCTTTCCCATTTTTTAATCTCTGCAACTCCAAAGCATTTGCAGGCTTGGGATTCTTCTCTCTCTCTTCATTCATGTTGGAGAAACAATGTCCTACATTTCGAATTTCGCCGCGCCGTTTCACGGCCAGAGGGCCGCGTTTAATTCAGCGGACACCCAGTTAAAGTTTCCTTCTCTTGCTTCCATCCAGTCTAGACCCGCAATCAGGATTGCCAGACCCTTCTTCCAGGTGAATTTTACGAATCTTATTATATTCAATTCTCTTTTATTTTCACTTCCTCGATCGATTTCGTAGCTGCATTTATCCGATTCTTGTTGAAATAATGTCGATTTTGTTGTAGAATGACACATTTAGCATCTCCCGGATGGCGGTTGGTAGGTCGAGCAGAGTCGGTAGACAAGGAAGGTTACGCATGGCATTGGTAAATGAGAGGCTTGGACATGGCCGAAATGTGTCTGACCAGTCTTCCGTTTTGGTAACAAAACTTTTGGGAATAATTCAGAGAACCAAGTGTTTTATTCAACATGTTGTTTGTTCCAGCGCTGTTAAATTGTTATTCTTTGTACAGATTAAACGCATTGCTATATCCTAATTTGCAATAATAAAGCATTGATTTCCAGTATTTATTCTTAACTCACTACTCTTTAATATTTTGTTTGCAGGCATACGAACTAGTTCAAGGAAAACTTGTAAGTTTTCTTATTCTATGTGGCTTTGGAATTAAAAATATGAAATAAAATATAGGACATCGGTTTAAGTTGTGAAAATCTGGTGTCAGGCAATTTGTTCATTGGTTAGACATTGTTGATTCTTTGTTCCAGAATCATTTGTTTGTAAGTGGATTTGATATTATAATTTCTTTGTACTTTTCAGCTTGCCTCAAGTCCTTCTTTATATGTTTATTGCATCCTGTAATAATCTGTTGTTGCAGACCCAACATATGAGATGTTGTTATGTAAACAGAGAGATGTACTACAATGACCTCCGTTGCTAATTTAGGGCAAAAGGATTATGGCTTTGCTTTTGGAATTATTCTAATATTCATTTGTTGCTTATGGTGATAACTGGAGCTTAACTTATTTTTTATAACAATAAAAATGCCTCTCAGCATTCCTCTCTTCTTTTTTCTCTTTTTTTTTTCTCCTTCTCAACATTCAAATGACTCTATTGTTCCTTGATTTTTAAAATTTAAATGATGCTTCTGCTTGAATTTCAGAGAATTTATGTATGAAAACTTGTATACAGGTAAGGTGGAGTTCAATGGTGGTATTGGACAGGTCAATACCAGAGCCACCAACAGCTGTTCTCTTGCATGGCATTCTTGGTAGCAGAAAGAACTGGGGTAAGCACCAAATTGATAATTGGTTAACACCTTTGTATGCTGGTATCATCATTCAGTGCATGCCCCTTTTTCTCCCATAGCCTGAAATGGGAAATAGTTACACCTGCTTTTGGGAACTGGAATGCTCTTCCAGAATGCTTTTCCTGTTTCTGTTTATTTATCTTATTTTATTCCTAAGTAATGATCTTTTCCCTTTCTAAAGACATGGAATTATGGAACTTGGAGAATTGCCTTTACATTCAAAAGAAAAATTTAAAAGAACTGTTGAATTTGCAAATGTTGGCTACCTTACATGTGGTGTATGTTACAGAGATTCACTTCTTGACATTCTGGTTTGCATTAAGTGTAATTTTACGTGATATTTTAATTATTTGGGCAACCTGGTCTAAACTGCAAAAATTGTACTCTTTAGCTAGTAGATATTTCAATTGGGAATAATACATAGATTCACTCCTTGACATTCTGGTTTGCATTAAGTGTAATTATACACGATATTTTAATTATTTGGGCAACCTGGTCTAAACTGCAAGAATTGTACACTTTAGCTAATAGATATTTCAATTGGGAATAATTGTTATTAATAAACAACATTGTCTTTGATCAGATGATGAAAACAAATCCACAGAATCCAGCTGTTAGAAACAAATCTGAGGCTTGCATTTTACCCTGCCCTTTTCCATTTTCATTTAGTTGTTGAGTTGTCCTAAAATTCTGTTCCAAACCATTCTATACTCTAGGTGTCTGTGGCTTAAATGTGCCTGCCAAAGGTGGTTCCCAACTCTATCATGTTGTTACAATTAGTTTTCTAATTCAGCAAACATCTTGGTTCCATGCATAAATGCAATTATGCACTTTGCTGAGCATTTTCTGACGGTCCGATTTCTACTCTGTTTTAGTGTACTGATGCTCTGATGTTTGTATTTGTCTTGGACATTGTTAATTGGTATATTTTAAGAACAAATTCATTGTTTGCATTTTTGCACATGAAAGTAATGAGTATGTAAATATATCCGTTTTATACGTTGTAGGAACTTTTGCTCGGCGACTGGCACAAGAATTTCCAACATGGCAGGTAACTTTGAGTAACTTTCTGTTTGCTTTTGTTCTCTTCCTCCCACCATTTTGTAATGATACCTTTTGGTTAATGCGGTGGCTTTATGTCATTAGTATATCCCTATGTGTCTCTCATTTCAAAAGGAAGAAATGTATTTGTGGTTTTACCAAATTAGCCTTTCATTTTGATGCCTTCAAACAAATATTGATAATCATTGTGAATTTACTTGAAAGTTATGGTGGCATTGTGACATCTGTGTGATAGATATCTATGATCTGCTTAAAGTGGTTTATGTGGCAGCATGGGTCTTGGAAATTAGGACGTTAACAAGCAATAATGCCCGCATGTTGTGGTGTTTTTTTTTTTTCATTTATTTATTTAGTAGTATTGTTTATGTGATAAATGGATGTTAAATTAAATAAAGAAAATAATACAATTAATTGATTGAGATACATATTGTTAAAAAGAAAGGTGCTTTGAATCTTTATTGAATGAAACATGAATAAAATAGAAACAAAATACTTGGTGAATTATTTAAAAGAAAGGTATATTTGAATTGTTGATTGAATAAAACATGAATAAAGTAGAAACAAAATACTTGGTTAGAAAAGAAAAGGACCATTAGTAAAATAAAAAGTTGACGGATCAAGGTAAAAACTAGAAATAAAAACGTGATAGGGACTTTAAAGAAAAAAATGAGATTAAAAATAGAGAGGGACACTATTGAAGAGAATAATAAAAATCTAACAACCTAAACATCCTAGGCCCAAAAAGGAAAAAAATAACAGACTTGGAGTTAAGTGTGAGAAGTTTATCAATTAACTATTGCCATTAGTTGAATACAATGGTAGTATAGCAGTTAGTATGTTTCAATAAAATAATTTAATTATTTCTTGTAGTTGTAACATTATGTTCACTTAAGTAATTTTTCTAATGTGTAAAATTTGTGCTTAGAAGCCATTACAGGAAAACATCAAGACTCATACATGGTAATTTATCATATTAAAATGAAAAGGACAGTAAAAAATGTTGAATTAGGGAAAAATCAATAAACTGAAAAGTGATAACGAATTATATAAACGAGGTAATTTGGAATTAAGAAAAGATGAGATTGTAAAATATGGCATTGTCAAAAAGAAAACCAAAAAAAAAAAATCGTGAACACTATTGCAATTTGTTGATTAGGAAAATAGTATAGAACAGGCTCTTGTAAGTTTTTGAACACTGTTACAAGATCTGTTGAATTATTGCAATTTACAACAGCCAAGTCAAAAAAATAAAAATCTTGAAAATGCACCTAATTAGAGCACAAAGCATATTATAGGAAAGGAATCAGTAAGTCTGCCCTTGGATGGACCAGAATGCCTTACCGGTCTTATGCCTTTGAAGAAAGCGTAAGAAACACGATAAGAAACAGTACTGTCAGCATCCAATTATAGCATATAAATGGTGAGCAAAAGCTGGTTTGTAGGTGCAAGCTTAGATGTGGATTTCTATGGAGATTTATAGCTGACATGGGATCTTTAGTGATTAGGTTTGGTCTGAGTTTGGTTTAATTGTATGCTTTGAACTTTTATATGTGGCTGCTTCAGTTTACCAAGTTTGTTAATTTGATTGGATCAAGACTGTTTATGTACGTTTTATAGTGGTGTCATGGGTCTTAGGTTGGTCTAGCAGTACTATTGGGTCCTTATGTGTGGTCCAATCGCATGGTTTGTGTTGTTCTTATCTTCTGGCAGTGCAGGTGAAGTTATTCTTTTAGTAATGTCTGGTAGGAAACTTAATAAGAGAGGTTTTTCCATAACGTAGAACTCCTGTAATGGTGTAATGGCCTTCTTTTCTTTGTTTGATTTGTTATAAAATCCTAGGGGAGATTGCCTAGGTTTCACCTTTTCTCCACTAAACAGACAAGGCTAACTGTTAGTCATTTTCATATCCCTAGACCCTAAAACTGTCTGACTCGTAATTGCCCCCTATATTTCCACAATAGCTTCTTAGCCTATTTTCATCCAAGAAGAAAAATTCTAATTCACCTGCCAAATACTGAGCCCTAATTACCTTTCTGCAATAAATTTTAATGTTGAATGTAAGTTCCTGTAACAAAAGACTACCAAAACTGGACCATTAGCATGCTGGTGTTCCACAAACTGTCATCGTAACTTTGTTCTTAGCAAAACACCGTATTTTGAGCAGAGGACCTTAATGTTAGACCTAGATGAGTGACGATGATATTTGCAATCTAACTAGATATAAGCCTGTGTGACACGCGGGTGATGATTTCATTTACAATAAATTCTTAAATTTAGAATAAAAGTAACAACAAAAAATAGAGTGCAAAAAAGTTAAGTTGGAAACATGCATGCTAAAGAGCAATATCTTAATGATCTGGACAATTAGAAGAATAAATAATTCTATTCAAAATTAGAAGTATAAATGACAAAGTAATTGCTAAAAGTGAAAAAACATTTAATAGTAATAATAGGCATTAAATGCTATGTGAAACAGAAAAAGAAAGCAATGGAATCAATGCCAATTTCAGTATTATAAAGTTTTCTTTTTGTTTGAGTTATGCTAACAAATATATTTTTGGGCTGGAATATCCTTTAGAAAGTTGAATTTTTAACATTAAATGGTCATTTATAAGTTCATTGAGGCTAGCAATTAGAAATTCTTAACTTAATTTAATATGAATTCGTATTAAACATGTAAAATGTCTAACGCAAATAATCAAAAGTAGTAAATTTAATCTTCCAATACAAAAATTAAAAGTTTTCATTGATGATAGTAGATATGTTGCATTTATTTAGAATATACATGTGTCAGAAAGATGGACTATTCATGTAGGATTATTTCCTTTTTTTCCAAAGGCTTTGTCTTTTATATATTTATATTAAATTGTGCTGCAACTGGTGTAACTTTTCTTTTCTTTCTTTTTCTTCCTCTTTTCCCAGTCCTATCCCTTATATATATTTTCTTTTTGCATTTCTTGGAGCTTGCTTCTCATTTCTGCTAATCTAGCTTCGGATCATTTGCAGTTAGATGGATTGGTAGAAGTATTTAATTTATGATGCTTCTAAGAATCTCATGTGTTCTAATATTTTGCCTAATGCAGTTTGTTTTAGTAGATTTGCGGTGCCATGGTGATTCTGCATCAATCAAGAAGAGAGGTCCACACACTGTTGCTTCAACTGCTTTAGATGTGCTAAAACTAGTGCGTGGTTCTTAAGCCTGACTATTAGTTTTTACTTGAATGTAACTCTTGAATCTTGATGTTAGTTGACCAAACTCCAGTTGGATAAATGGTGAAGCAGAATTACTATGTTAATTCAGCTTCATTTGATCAAGATATAATGATGAGAATGCTTCAATATCTCCCGTGTCATTCTAAAATTATTTGAAATTTGCTTTGTGATAAGTTATCTTAGGACATTCAAAACAGGCTTTACTCCATTATTTTGCCTCTTCTGGTAATTTATTGATTTCAATTAAAATCATGATGAGTGATATTTTACTTTTGACATGATTGCTTTCTGGCAATCTGTTTGATTGAAACTTGCTAAAAAATTTGGACCATTAATATTACTTAAACAAACATAGAAAAGGTGAGGAATTTTATCAGTTGTGCAGTTGAAATAAACCTTTTTCTCTAATGTGATGGTTGTATATTATAGAAGTCCTCCTATTTACAACTCCCTTATTTATTGATTGAAGAGCTGCTTTGATCTCAGTAGAGTTTTTCTTTTCCTGCCAAACTACAATTAGCTCTATCTGCTAGACTAGCTGCACTTAATAAAATGTCTATTTTAACCATTCATGTCTAGCTTTCTTAATTAACTTCGTAAACATTTAAGTCATTCATTCTTTAAAACTGGTTTTCCACTGCTTGTCTCTTCCGAAAAGAAAAAAAAAGGATATTAGAGAAGTATATTGTACATTTAAGACTTCTGTTTCTTATTCTTCTTCTCAATAACGGTTTTCTGTGTTTTTATGCTGGAATAGATTGCACAGCTTAGAATAACACCCCGTGTTCTAATTGGCCACAGCTTTGGAGGAAAAGGTATGTTTAGTTTTTAGGAAAGTTAATGTCCGTAATTTTGGTGATATGATAAAAATATAATGAGGAGATAAAAAGGCTAGTATGCTCTGTTTTTCAGTTGTCTTGAGCATGGTGGAACAAGCTGCAAAGCCACTTCCACGACCAGTTAGAGTAAGTTTTCTATCTCTTAGATATTTTTAGTTGGTTTCAGCTTTTTAGATTCACTGGTGGAATGTCCATTGCATCTTAAGGTGGATATCATATACTTTGGAGAGGTTCAAGGAACTCAAATTAGAATAAAAACCAGGTGCTTGCGAATTTTTAAGATATAGGTATGCGGGAAAAGATCATTTGGTTTCATAATCAATTTGTTGCACGCAGACCATGGACCTGAAACAATGATATATACATACATACATACATACATACATACATAAATATATATATGTATGTAGTTTCTTTTTCCTCCATTACTTTTCTTTACAATTTGCTTTTTACGGTTTGCTTATATAGGTATGGGTTCTAGATGCCACTCCTGGAAAAGTTCGAGCTGGTGGAGATGGTGATGACCATCCAGCACAGTTAATATCTTCCTTAAGGAAACTGCCTATGGAGGTGAATCATTAGTTGACATTTTGTATGTATTTTCTCAGTTGATATATCGACTACGCTATTGACATGCTTGTGTAATATTTCATTTGGTCAATATGAACTTTCTTAATTCAATCATTAGCATACTAGTAGATGTCATGGACCATGGTATCAATTCCTTGGTACCCAATCAATCTAAGATGGGTAATTAGTGATGTAGGAGCTTTCCAGAACTTATCTAAATTTGTTATTTTGATATGTTCTTTTATTTTTCCTGTTTGACTCTTTTGTTTATGGTTTGTAATTATTTTCATTTTATTATGTGCTCATGTGACTAGCATGTGATCTTTTAAAGAGTTTGAATGGCTGGGATTATGTATATCCAAGGTCTAGCATTAAAAGCTACTGTAACCCTAGTATAAATAGTCTTTTAGACGCATTGGGCAGCCGTATTCTAGTTGGATATTGTTTGCTAAGAGGTTGTACATTTCTAACGGCTAGTCTTTATGTTCAAGCTTCAGTTTACATCAATTTGAGCCTCAGTTATGTCTTTTTTTCACTGTTTGAGTATCCTTTTAATTGTTTCCTTTGGTGGAGCTAGGTGTCCACATATGATGTCTTCATGCAGATATTGTGTGGAACCTCTTGAGATTGATAGGAATTATATCCTTGATTTATTATTATTATTAGCTTTAAATTTACTATTTACTAGGTCACTCTTAGCAAGAGTTAATTAATAACAATTTCTGCTGTAATTAAACTAATCCATGTATCATTTTTGTTGTTATATGTTGAATTTATCGCTTTTGCATTTCCTGCATAACCCCTTCAAAAAAAAAAAGAGAAAATCATTCTTTTATTTTTTCTCCTTCTTTAGATGTGGCTCTAATTTTGCTATAATTTTTATTGAGGAAGGTCTCTTCGAAGCGCGATATAGTGAATGCTCTAGTTCAAGAAGGGTTTTCTAAGGATGTCGCACAGGTATATTACCACCACCTACCAAGGATGGGGCTCCTTTATAAGTTTTTGGTCTACGGTTTCTATTTTGGTGTCCAGTGATGGCCGAAATAGTACTGCACTTTATTTGCTCGATCGTTTATTGAATAAACATGAGTGCTCTATATATACATACATACACACACACACACACACATATATATATTCTTTCAGATGTGTTATCTTAGTCTTAGCTTAATTTGGGGATAAAAGTTTGGCATATGGTTCCCCAGTTTTCTAGGTTACTGAAAATTGCTTTGTTTTGGGTTTGGTATTTGTGGAGTTTTCTGTAATCAACAAAGTTTAACCTCCATTGGGACTGTCTTAAATAAGGCAAAATCAATTTGGAAACTATCTGCTTGACCATCATGGGACATGCTCTATGATCTAGTGATCAAGTATATACTTGATTTTCTTGTTCATTTTCATTTGGCTCTTGTAGTGTTGGGATGGAAATTTGTCATTCTACTGTTTTAGTCCTTCCAAGATTCATGTAAATGCATGACACATGTCAGAGGACAAGGACATCCTTTAAAAGAAATTTGAAATTAATCTAGTTTTTGTTTTTGTTTTATACCTCATTTGCACAAAATACTTAAGCATTTTGTTAAAGAACGAGCAACTTGAGGGCTTTTAAATACTCTATTTGGGCATCTTTGTGTTTAATCATGACTTTAGTATTACATGTCTGACAAGAAATTCTCAGTAAAAGAAAAAGGAAAAAACTTTCAGAACCCTTGATTGACTGGTGTATATATATTCTTTTTTGACCATCAGAAGATGGCTTATTTTTTTAAGTTTGATCAAATTGGTATGCTTGTAACAGTGTTTTCTCTCTTTCACTGAACTCAACATAGATTCTTATTCTATTTCAGTGTTCTTTCCAGAATTAGGCTAAGCACTACATCAGAAATGAGAAAAGAAAAAGAGAAAAAGGAAATAAACACAAGCACATATAGCACTGAATTAAAACTTAAAGAAAAAAAAAAGGGGGGCAAACAGACGCACTCATGCATGTACACAAACACACATATTGAAGAGAAAGCATTTCACGTTCTTTCAACAGATGTTGACTCGGCCTGATATGATACGCGTTGTTTGCAACTGTTATTGGAAACAGGTTGATCTTACTTGTCTAAGGTTAACAATATGGCAATATAGATGGAAATAGGAGTAGCTTTCTGTGCCTTTAAACTTTTAAAATATAGATGATGTCATAAAGCCAATATTCCTGGATGTCTGCCAATATATTTTAATCTATTACCAATAGTTTACTCTTTCCTTGTAGAAATAATACAGTATGTTCATTAAATGTGCAGAATAATGATTGGAGGAACTTTTATATTTCTTTGCCTTTGCTTGTTCTGCATGAGGGCAGGAAAACGAGCATATACTATTGTCCTGTAAGGTCTGTGCAGGATTTGCTTGTTAGTGGGAAGTGGGGTGTGAATTGGTCTATCACGGATGTTGTCTTGATTGAAATCACTCTGGATTAAAATACTGATAACCTGTCTTCTCGGTGCTGCTTCCTTGTGATTGAAGTGTTAGTCTGTCCATCTAGATCCATAGTTGAAAGTCAAGGTCAAATGCTGCCATGCATCTTGTATCAGATTATTCTTCCCTGTCAGGGAAATTTGCCAGTTTGTCTGCAAAGAAAATGTGTTTTCTAAAAATATTTACATCATTCTTACTGTTTGCTGATTTGTCATTGTATCTCCATCACATTGTTTGGCAATGAACTTTTTGAGCTTAACTTTCAATTGGTTAGCTGTATAATCTTTGTTTCTCAGTTCTTTTTAGATACTGTTAGATTTATTTTGAGATGAGTTCATGACTATAAAAGAAAAATAAGAGAGAAAGGAATAACATTTTCATCTTTGATCTGACATCATTTGTCATGTTTCTCTGATGATGTCATATTTCTGTTGCTCCCAATATTTACCTGGTTTTTACTCATTCAGTGGGTTGTAACTAATCTTCGACCAACTGCTGCTGCTGGTACACCATCATCAAGCTTCTCATGGGTGTTTGACCTTGAAGGGATCTCTCAAATGTACCAGTCCTATGAAGAAACAAATTTATGGTAATCTCACCTAGATTCAGCTGTAGGGTGTGGTTTGTATTTTATTTTACTTGTCTACAGTCATCCTCAATGTTGTCTTTTATGTGACTTTTATATTTATATTTCTGAAATGATAAACACAAAAATGAGAAGTGAAATTTGTTTCCTTCTTGAAAAAAGCATTTATTTAATATACTTGCAACCTTTTGAAATTAAAGCTTGTATATCTTCTTTCGTTTTATTCTTTTGGTTGAATAAATGCAGGGAAGTGGTGGAAAATCTACCTCGTGGTGTGCATGTTAATTTTTTGAAAGCGGAAAGGAGTTTGCATCGTTGGGCCCTTGAAGATCTTCAGCGAATCCATGCTGCCGAAGAGTCTGCTGCTGATGAGGGAGGTGGAGTTGAAATGCATGTCCTTGAAGATGCAGGGCACTGGGTACATCCATTGCACATGCTTTAATTTCTTTATTATTATTTTGCGCAAAGCATTTACCACTAGGAGTTACGCCAATTATGGTAATATCTCTTTTTGGTGTTTGAATGAGACTGGTGTAGAACCTAAGAACCCTAACTGAGTTTAATACTCAATAATGTGTTTAGAACCTAAGTATTATAGCTTTCCAAGAAGTTGCTTATGCTATCCTCGTATGATGTCTCCAGACTGACATTGTTCTATAATCACTCTCTTCCGGAGATAAAAGGAACTTTGAGGCTGCTTGAAATTATGCAACCTAAATAGAAAAAGGCTCTGTAACTCATGAAAATTAAAAAAGAAAAAAATAAAGTGCAACTTTCCTGATCTGTACTCCCTAGTCTTTTGGCATTCAGAACATTTGAAAGTAGTCTGGTCTGCTGCATTTGTAACATAGCAACAACCTATGGAAAACCTCTGTTCCAGATGTGATTCTGTGGGCTGATTTAGTTATTTATTTGCTGAATAGCTCTCTGTAGTTGTATCATTTGTACATTTTAGGTGCATGCTGAGTTATTTTCCTGAATGTGGAGATTTTTATTAATGTTTGCTTTGCTTTATGTCAAAGAGGTGCTCATTTTCAATTTAATCTCTTAATAGGTACATGCTGATAACCCTGATGGACTCTTCAGGATTCTTTCATTTTCTTTCAAGGGAGTTAAAGCCTAAAGGTGCTTTACTGCTTCTATTCAAGATTTGATATATATGGGCTCTGAGTTGCACAACAACAAAAGCAATTATTTAGCTTAGCTCAAAATTATCACTTGATTCATATAATCAACATTCTTCTATTTTTCCCCTCCTTACCGTTTACCACTGCTGAGTGTTATTCTAGCCTGAATTAATTTGTAGCATAGACACTATTTAGAAAAGAAATTATTGAGTAGTGTATGTGATTCCAGAAATCATTCTTGTATCAAAGTATAATTGACAAATCACATTCAAATTTGTTCTAGATACTTTTCTCTTCTGATTGCCTTTCTTCAATCTTGATGCTAGTAACATTTTTGCAAGACTGGATTCTTCCCGGCTCTCTTGGCCAGGTATTTGGTATAGTTTGTTTTCTCCTCTTTGGTTCTTCCATAATGGGTTTGTGCTTAGGTTGTCTCGGGTCGTTATCCTTTTTCCGAACCATTAACTTGATAGGATGTGTAGCACTAAAGTTCGTAATTGTATCAGGATCTTCTTACTTGCCCGATAGTGCGATTGAAGCACTTTAGTCTACTTTTTCTGAAGAACTGGGCGTGACACTCCTTCACTCAATCTAGCGATGTCTTCGTTGTCGTTGATCACCTTGCTTGCTTTCCTCTGGAAGTGTTTGGCGTGAGTTAAGATTGGGTTTACCAACTTGACATAGGAAGAATGAATCAGATTACTCGCATAAGTAAAAAACTAAGAGTCATCTGAGCTTTAGCTCAAGGGATGAGGGTAGTGTGGGGATCTGAGGTAAGACTTAACAATTCTCAAGGCCGTCATCTAACTAGTGAAGTGAGACTTCATTGGTAGATCTTCAGCTATTAAATTATGTTGAAGCTGTCACTCTGTTGTAAGAAAATTTGTGCAGCTAATCAAATATATGGAATTAGCCGAATTCCCTACATCATTCCGTTATTTATTTTTTATTATTCTAATATAAATATAATATTTGAAAAAGTTTTGGAATTATTTAAAAAATTTTAAAATTAATTTATACTAGTTTACTAGGTTCAATTATGTTTTTATAAATTTATTTTAAATCAAATAAATTTTTATAATTAATCATTGATTGATTATTATTAATCAAAATATTCATTTAATGTTTACGTTATATTGACATGTAAGGTAAAAATATTACATAGTTATATCATGTTTTGTTATCATCTACTATGATATATCAGTATATCATTTTGATATCACGTGATATAAAAAGATAAGTAATATTATAATTAATAACAATTAATCAATAATTAAGTATAAAGATTTATTTAAATTTAATTTAACTTAATAAAAATATAACAACTTGTTTAAATTTTCCTAAACTTCAAACTCCAAATAGTTTAAGAGTTTTGTAAGGTACATGTCAAAAGTGTAGTCTTACATTTCTTCTCCGTTTCTACCAGGTGGGACACAATCCTAATCAATTCACCCTGAATCTTCTTTCCAAATGATATATACACCTTAGTTAGAACAGTGTTTTTTTTTTTTCAAATTTTATAATTATTATTCATAAACTATGATTAAAGGGTAATCATATGAAATCATAAATGGGATTAATGAATTGATTCAAAGAAAAAAAATTAAGGTGACGGAAGCCACTCCTCATCAGCAGCTTTGATTCGCCCCTACCTGCAAAATTCAACTGGCGCATTCACATTTTAACATTAAAGAAGGCATCAATTTGGATGATCCATGCAAGTTCATACATTTACTGTGAATCAAACTGCTATGAATTCTGCACTTTACATATGTTCATACACTCTATGTTGACCCTAACCTGACACTCAATTTTTCCTCAGGATACAAAAATTGGCTCCCCGTCTGGACTCTCTACCATGGGGTCTTGCCTATTATCTCACCTGTCGGCCGTAACAAAATTACCAGGAGCTGCTAAGAGGTTGAAGCAAGATTGATGCACTTGCATGCACGAGAGCTTAACAAAACTTGGAAGGGAGGGTTCCATTCAGCAGAGCGTGGCTCAGAAGAATTTGACCATTTCATCTGCATGAAGCTTCTCTTCCTCCATGGACCCATGTGGAGGTTCTTCTCCTCCATTGACCTTTTGGCTGCATCGCACATGACACCAACCATGGCGTTCAGGTAATCAGCTTTGCCTACGTAACACTTGGGTAATTGCTCTACAAGCTTGCTGTACTCATCGCACGCTTTCGCAATCTCGAATTGGTCTCGGAACTCCAATTCGATCACAAACGGGACTTGCTTCTTCTTCCCCTGTGTGCTAGCAATCACCTCAATGTATTCATGTGTCCCTGAAAGTCATTAGGTAAATACATAACATAACTAGATCAATATTTTATCAAAATTTATCTCTTGCATTAATGGAATATTTTAATTTCATTATTTTTTACATCAATGAAATTAAAAATATATATCAAAATCTTAAAAGAGAATCGTAAATTTCACATCGATATGTATTAAACTACGATAGAGTATTTAAGTGTTAGCACCATTTTTAATGAAATATTTTATGTGAGGTAAAACTGTTAAGTTCAATATACTAAACAGATAATATCTTATAAGTTGACGTAAATCGTAATATTTGGTAAATTATAAAGTTTAATATATCATATCATATAATATCTTATAAATGGGTGTAAATCATGGCATTCGATAAATTAAATGAAATCATAATATATCGATAAAATTCTATATTAAATCAATAATATAATGAGAAATTAACCTCCGGGATACTTTTTGGTGTGTTTCCACTTAGAAACACAGAGAGAGGCATTAAGTCCTCTATCACAAAGCAGACTGATTACTCTCTTTCGCAAGCAGTTGGTGCAACCATCGATGCTTGGCTTGGTGCAGCTGCAAAAGTCTGTCTCTCTTGCTACCTCTATGATTCGACAAATTTCTTGTCGTAACTTGGAACCTGTCAACACATAACGCTCTAGAATTTCCTGAAACAAAAAAAAAAAACAGTTATATAAAAAATGAAGAATCTACTGTTAAACCAAATTTGAACATTTTGGTAATGAAATTTTTGCATAAAATTTCGTAGTTAATGTGAGGAAGGAATTTTTTTTCCCTTGATTTTGAAGTATTATATTTTTAATTTAAAATACAAGATTATTAGATGAAAGACAAGTAGAATATTTGCCGTTATATTAGTTCTTTTTACATATAAACGAAATAAACTTACCTTGGTTCGTTCACCCGTAAAGGAGAGAAACTCATATTTGTCCGAGATTATCTTGATCCTCATATCACTCATAGAAATCTCATTTTAATGAAAAATTGAATAAATTTTAATACCAGTTTATCATAAGATCACACCTCTAGCTTAAAAAACATGTCTATCATGTGAAAAAAAATTCTTTACTTATAAGTTCAAGACTTATATCATTTTTTACTGAAATTCATAACACAATCATTCACCTAATTTTAATATATTTTAATTTGTTTAGCTTGTAATTTATATCTTATAATAAATTATTTTAAGGAATAAATAGTTCTGAGGTTTACTGTCAAAATCAGTCCAAAAAAAGGGGTTTTTAATATATTGTAATTCGTTTAGCTTGTAATTTATGTCTTATAATAAATTATTTTAAGGAATAAATAGTTGTGAGGTTTACTGTCAAAATCAGTCCAAAAATGGGGATCATCTGTGTATGAAAAGGGCAAACAGAAGGCTCTGGTTTATCATTTGTGTACCATACAAAAAATAGGGGCTTTTCTATGTTCATGAAGCTCTGCAACCCAACATGTGGATTAATTGCAAACATTCATTTACAAAACAATCAACACCCCCCTGATTCACCTCTCTCTCCATTTTTGACTTTGCTTTCTTTAACTGACTAACAAGTCTCAGATGCAGCTAGCTTATGGAAGTAAATCTTTATTTGATATTTTGTCCGGTTTCTAGCTAGCTTATGGACAAACCCATCAAAACCATGTCTGCTATTTCAAAGAAAGCTGCTCCTTTGTCTGCTATTTCTGATTTTTTTTTCCCCTATGAATAGTTAACCTTGAAACCAGGTTTACAGAAATATCATGAGATGTTTATGAACCCAAAATCCATAGAAACGAAGATGAAAATCCCATTCCCATGGTAATTAAATAACTATGTGGTAACATGATATACGGATAGATATAAATATACCTGAAGCAAAGCCTCCTGGGATTCCCAGTAAAGGGTACGTTCAATAGGGTCATTGGATTCATTACCATCTGATCCATAGCCATCAATAGTTTCTTGGTTAAGACAAGCATCGGATTCAGCAAAATTGTTGTTGTCCAGAAACTCTGAAACTTTCTCTTCCAGGCTGTAATTATAGTAGCAGCCATGCTGATTATGATGATGATGACCATGGTACTGTTCAAGAGCCTTCTCTCCAATAAGCTTACCCATTTCTTCTTTCGAGCCAAACCCAGATATTAATGGAATCTGGATATATATAAGAGGAAAGAAGGTTTAAAGAAAGAGAAAAACATGTGGAAATGAAGAAGAAGAAGAAGAAAAGGCTCTTGCACCAAAAATCTATCATCCGGGAGAAGAATATATATACACGCACCAACATTCCACGTCAGCATTCATAAGATTTTTTTTATTATTTATGATATATGTTTTCAGACAATTTTGCAGAGACAATAAAATAAAAATTTGAACCCCAATAATTTTGTAAAATTAGAAGTTTACCCCATCATGTTGATAAAATTCTATTATAACCCAAAAAGATTTTGAGGCTCTTCACTTAAGTCCCTGGAAAGTAGACCTGTCAATATGAGCTGGCCCGGCCCAACCCGGCCCTAGCTCTTGTGGGCTGAAAAAATATGGACGGACCGGGCCAGCCCATATTTTATACGGGTTAAAAATGTTCAGCCCAATCCAGCCCTTGCTAGCCCATGGCCCGGGCCGGGCTAGCCCTGCCCCCCTCCTCCGGCTCCCACGAGCCTGCTAACTCGTATTCGTCTTTTAAGACAAGAGCTCCTAGGCAAGGAGGGACTTTTTCTTCTGTCTGTGCGGACTGGCGCAAGGAGTCAACTGAATGACAAAAGCATCGGTTGTTCCACTTGTGGCTTGCTTTCAAGAGTTTGACCGGTAAAGGACACCAACCGTCCTACTGCACAGGGATAAAAAGAACCTTTCCGCATTCATCTTCTCTTAAGCGAGATCAGATCAGGAAAAAACCTCTACGCCTTTCGCCCTGCGGCCCTGCCCGCCCCCTCCGGCTCCCACGGCCGAGTCCCGGTTCCCCCTGCGGCCCTGCCGCCCCTCCTCCGGCTCCCACGCCCGGTTCCCCCCTGCGGCCCTGTCGCCCTCCTCCGGCTCCCACGAGTCCCGGTTCCCCCCTGCGGCCCTACCCGCCCCCCTCCGGCTCCCACGAGTCCCGGTTCCCCCTGCGGCGCTGCCCGCCCCCCTCGGCTCCCACGAGTCCCATTCCCCCTGCGGCCGCCGGGGTGGCCCGTACCAACCCGGATCAGCCTCGGGCCTAAACGGGCTAACCGTTTAGCCGGTTTTAATACGGGCTTAAATTTTAAGCCCAGCCCGTCCATATTTTAAAAAAATGGCTGGCCCGACGGGACCAAGCCCATTTTGACAGGTCTACTGGAAAGAGACAAAGGATAAGATTTTGGTTGGGGTAATAGCTTAAGTCATTCCCCTCTCCTTCTACTTAGATGAAAACGATTAACTCCTTGGGTTCATTTTTGAGTTAGGGGATAACCATTTCCGAGAATGAACATTTCTTCAAAACATAATATAATTAACATTGATTTCTTTTGGTATTAACTAGTTCGTCTCTTATGGAATAAGTTTAAATATTTGGATAAAAATATCTTTACTCATTTTAGAAAATTATTAGTGATAGATAATAGATTAAGTTGAAATTTGATATATTTAAAAAGTTACTAGAGTTTACAATATGACAACAAATTGTAAAGGCTTATTTAAATATACAAAAAAGAAAATTATAAAAAATAACTCTCCTTATCAGCCAAATTCAAATATATGTTCTATTATAATTTTAATTATTTTTAGTCAGTTTTTGACATAACTTGACAACAATATCCTTTAAACAATTTCAAACAAATTAAAACGGTTTTGATTTTTTCTATCCCATGATCCAAAAAAAAATTTCAAAATTAAATCTCAATTTTTCTCTTTTATCAAATACTTTCTATCTCACGATTCAAGTTTTTTTTTTCATCCTAAATAGTAAAGTTGTATGTTTTAGATTCTTGGATTTATTGGTTTGAACCCTACTCTTTAAGCAGGGAGATTATGCACCAACCAATAAGCAAAATGCTCTGATGCAACTCTAAAGTTAAAGAGTTGAAATTGATTAGATATATCTGTAAATTAGAACACTATTTTTGCAACCTAAATCTAACTTGCAAGCATGCAAATCAATTAATTATTAGGTATTGTATTATTGGTTTTTAAGCATTATATCATTAATTTTTAAGTATTGTGAGATTGATTATTAGACATTGCGTAACTTAATCATCACGTCTCTGGTTTTTAAGGAATGCACAACTTAGACATTACGTGACTAGGTTTTAGGTATTATGCGACTATTTTTTAAACAATGCTTAAAAACCAATCACGCAATGTCCTATTAACCAATCACGCAATGCTTTACTAACTAATCACGAAATGTCCTATCAATCAATCACACAATATTTAAAAATTAGAAACGTAATACATAAAAACCAGTCATGCAATACCTAAAAATTGATTACACAATGCCTAAAAACCATCAAAACTATCAAATTCTAGTCAACAAAATCATCAACTTCAAACAACATACTATATTCTATTTAATAACATAATCAACAAATATGCCTACTTGTCAAAAAATGCTCAAAGATTTTTCTTCGTTTATAAAAAACTGCTTCAAAATACTTAAAATGCTCAAAACGCTCAAAGATTTTTCTTCATGTATCAAAAATCACTCTAAAATGCTTAAAAAGCTTAAAGGTTTTTCTTTTTGATGAGGAATACTCCGGAGATGAATGGTCTAGTAAAGAAAGCTTAAAAGATATGAGTCAATTTGAGATGCAAACCCAAACATATGGATCAGTTTCATTAAAGACAATTTTGTCCAAAATTAATTTTACTCGATATTAACTAGTTCATCTCTTACAAAATAAGTTTAAATATTTTTAGACAAAAATATCTTTACTCATTTTAAAAATTACTCGCGATACATAATAGATTAAGTTGAAATTTGAAAGACTTAAAAAGTTATTAGAGTTTACAACATTAAAACAACTTGTAAAGGCTTATTTAAATATGAAAAAAGAAAATTGTGAGAAATAACCCTCCTCATAAACCTAATAAAAAAATATCCTTCATTATAATTTTAATTATTTTTAACTAATTTTTGACATGACTTGACAACAATGTCCTTTAAATAATTTCAAACAAATTAAACTAGTTTCGGTTTTCTCTTACCCGACATCCAAATAAAAATTTCAAAATTAAATCCCAATTTCTCTCTCTAGTCAAATACTTTCTATCTCGTTCTCCAACTCTTCCTCATCATCCCAAAGAGTAGAAATGACATCAAAGTGTGTGTTTTAGGTTCTTGAGTTTATTGGTTTATATTCATAAAACCCCAAAGTTAAAAGGTTGAAATTGATTAGATATATCTGTAAATTAGAACACTATATGACTTTGGCAACTTAAACTTGACTACAAGCAAGTAAACCAGTTAGTTATTAGGTATTGTATTACTAGTTTTTAGACATTATGTCACTAACTTTTAAGTATTGTGAGACTAGTTTTTAGGTATTACGTGACTAATCATTACATCTCTAGTTTTTAAGGATTACGCAACTTACACATTGCGTGATTGGTTTTTGGGCATTGCGTGATTGGTTTTTAAACAATACCTAAGTCAGACAATACCTAAAAACTAGTCACGTAATACCTAAGGTAAGCAATACCTTATCAACTAGTCATGAAATGTTTAAAAATTAGTAATGCAATGCTTAAAAACTAATCACGCAATGCTTAAAAGTTAGTTACACAATACCTAAAAACCACCAAAACTACCAAATTTTATTTAAAAAAATCAACAACTTCAAATAACACATTATATTTCATTTAATAACATAATCAACAAATATGTCTACTTGGCAAAAGTTGCTTAAAATATTCAAAAGTTTTTTTTTGTTTATCAAAAATCACTCCAAAATACTTAAAATGCTCAAACCACTCAAAAGTTTTTCTTCGTGTATCAAAAATCACTTCAAAATGCTCAAAATATTCAAAGATTTTTTTTTTCATGTATCAAAAATCGTTCAAAAATGCTTAAAATGCTTAAAGGTTTTTCTTTCTGATAAGGAATACTCTGGAGATGAATGGTCTGGTAAAGAAAACTTAAAGAATATGAGTCGATTTGAGACGTAAATCCAAACATATGCATCAGTTTCATTAAGGGTAATTTTATACAAAATTAATTTTTCTTGATTAAAAATAGTTAAAATTATGAAGAAGGTTATTTTCAAAAACTCTTTATGTATGAAAGGTATTTTTGAAAAGAATCCATTAAAAAATCTACAAATAATAGTGAAGACAATGAAATCTTATAAATGTGGAAAAACAATTAGATAATGGGATATATTAAAATTACCTAATTTGATATATATATATATAGATAAAAAAGTAAGCTTTGTATAAAAAACCAATTATGCTACGAAATATATTTTATAATGGAATAGAAAAGGAAATATATCTTATTAAGAAATTATTATATACATCGACCATAAAATTTTTTAATTTCTCATTTTGATTATAGTTAAAAAAATCAATAAATTGATATAATTATTAGATGAACACATGTGGATTATGTAAATTTGTCTATAAAGTTCAAAAATTCGATATGAGTTATATGATAATTATTTACTTTAATTTATTATGTAGTACACTTATACTACAACTTTTCATAGCTTGAGAGGCCCTTTAAAGGGTAGGGGACAAGATGTGAAACACATTAGTTGGAAAGGTGGGAGCACGTTTTCCATGCATATTTTGGTGACTTGGTTTTGCATGGTGATGGGGTTTGGATTATTGTAGGATTAGTTTTATGGCTTACATTATCTACAACTTGACTCTGCCAGTGGCCATAAAAGCAATGCTTGTGCTGTGGGTTTGATTTCCTCCCCAATTGTTGTTTGTCCTCACCTTTCAACCATAACTATGAAAAGGAAATTTCGCTCTTGTAGCAAAAAAGCAAAGTCCCTTTTCGTATAAAAAAGCAAATGATAATTTTAGATAATAAAAGGTATAATGTTGGGAAAAAAACTTCTGAATTGTTTTAAAAAATTTAAATAAATCTTTATTTATGCACACTTGTAATTAATGTTGACTAATTATTGTTAATCAAAATATAAACTTTTCATCTCATACACCAAGTGACGTTGACATAACATTGACGTGAAAAATAAAAATGTCACAAGCGACGGCAGAGGGTAGTATATTTATGGCTCAAAATCAAAATTTTTAAAATTTTTTACTTTACTATGTACTAGCTACATTGTCAAGAGCATCTTTTAACTTTTGATAAATTAATTGGTTTAATGATACTCAAAGTTAGGTGCCATCTTTTGTCCTTCAAATTAAATGGTCTAGGACTTAAAACTTATAATATTATTTTTATTCGTCTTTAATCATCTTCCTTCTTAGTTCTCATTTAAAGAATTAATGGTATAGTTGAATAAATTATCTTTGACTTGGTAGATATAACATATAATCTGATCATGAATGATCATATATAATTGTGTTCCAATAGTTATTTTATACTATCCTTTTTATGTAACAAGTATTAATGTTAGTAAACATGCAGTAATTTTGTAAAAGCATCTCTCTCTTAAAGTTATATAGTATTTATTTATATGGAATCTCCTTTGTCTTTGGCCCCTCTAACAAAACAATTGATACATTTTTTAAAAGAAAAGATGTAAATCATCTAAATAATTCTATTATATTTGAGCCATCAAACCTCAATACTTTAACTCATGAACAAGAGCAATTTGAATCAAAACTCTGGGTTTCCTAGGGTGGATTACAAACTCATATAGATCCAGACACATGAATTAAAGATGAGTCAGCAAGCAATTTGCACAAAAATTTGCCTCTCATCTCAAAGAACATACGTAATAGACAATTTCCAATCATGTTCTAGGAGGCTGTTAATGTTCTTCAATAAAGGAAAACAAGGATAAGAAGATATTGTAGCACTATCTCAATCCTTATCAATCATAGGCCTCTCTTAAAACAAGTTCAAGAAAATATGCAGACCATGGCCCATAGTTCTTCTGTCAACTCTATAGCCACACCAACTACACAAGTGAGATGTTCGAGCCACCTTCCAGATGATCTCTAAGCACCACTCCTGCACCTACTGTGCCTGGATTGCCCATAGAAGTGATGTCCACATTCACCTTTGACATATTTAGGCAACCAATCAGTACTTGCTTAGTTGATTGAGTCCTTGTTAACTTTCAAGAGTCCTTCACCTATTCCACCTCGTTGAATAACCATAGCT